TCTGGGAAATAAGAAACTAGCCTGAACCTTCGTCTGTCCCATGAAAAGGAGAGCCAATAACGTGAATGAAAAACGTGAGAGAAATCGTGTGGCCACCGTCGTTGCTTGACCATGGGAACTGCTACGTGTTGCCCGATGACCAAGGGTAGTTGATCAAATTAATTAATTAATTTATTTATTTATTTATCTTTTAGGAATCTGCCCAGACTGCCCTTTATGAGTCGGTGACTTTTGGTAATGTCCGGAAGTCCTGACTTCCTCAATCGGTTGTACCGGGTAGTAGAGCACCTTCCGATAATATTAATATTATTTTTTTATTTATCTTTTCCACATTCGTTTTCGGTTAAATTACAAAAACAATTTCGGCAACACTTCTTTTCTTCGGCCGTACAATTTTTTTTTTTTTTTTAAACAGACAATGTTGTTTGGCCTTATTTAGCCAACACTTTTCGATCTTATAGTTTTTTTATCTGATTTAATCTCATAGTTTTAGTTAGTAAAACACAGGGTTAAAGCCAACTGTAGTCCTCGTACTTTGTGAAATTGTTCGTTACCGTCCCTCTACTAAGGACATGTTCGATGTCGTCCCTCTACTTTCCGTACAGTATATATAAATGTCATCCCCTTACTCCACATTTTTTGTTCAACGTCATCCCTAATGGGATGCCATCCACACTTTCGTTAATTTTGACCCGTTAATTATTAATGGTCAAATATTCAACTTATTGTTTATTAATTTTTTTAGACAAGCGGGACCATTTTTTTTTTTAACTCTTTCTTTTATTTCCTTTTCTTTCTTCCTCACGGTCATTTTCCCTAAACCACAGAACGAAGCCCTTGCCCTACCCTTCTTCACCGTCTTCACCACCAGTTCACCAGCTCACCAATTCACCCATCCAATTGTTCCTCTTCTTCACTCTTCTTCACCAACCTTCGGTCTTTCTTTCTTTCTTCACCATCTTCACCAAAAAACCTATGCCTAAAATTGCCCAAAATCGCCTGAAATTGTTGAAAATCATCTTGATTTTCTTCACTCAAATCACGCACCATCTTCACTAGTTCACCCAATCGGTTGCTCCTTGTCTCCACCCTTCTTCTCTATATGTTCTAGCTTTCTTTCTTTCTTCGCCATTTTCACCGAAACCCACAAAATCCTACACCCAAAATCACCCAAAATTGCCCAAAAATGCCAAACCCAAAATTGCCCAAAGTTGCCAAAAATCATCTTGCTTTTTCTTCCCTCAGTCATGGAATCACCCAAACCCAAAATGTGTTGGAGCAATTGCTGTTAACCGTGGAATTTTCATTTATTTTGTTTTGATTTTGGGTTGTGATAGTTACAGTTAATCATGAATTTTCTTGTTGATTTTGTGTTGAATTTGGGTTGGTGAAATCTGTTATTAATTGTTGTTAATTTTGGGTTGTGCTTTGGTATTATGGTTGATTTGGATTTTGATACATATAATTTTTGTTTTATATTGCTGTAGAAGGATGATGACGCTTGAGCTGAATTTTGGATTACATGTTACTGGATAAGGAGCAAACACTGATGAATGAGCTCCTGTAATTGAATTTGGACGAGCTCTTGTAATTGAAAAGAGAGAATTCG